ACACACACACACACACACACACACACACACAAATTTTTTTTAAAAAGTAACAAAATGAAATTTCTTCAAAAAAACCCAAAGATTTTCATACTGAATTTAAAAAACAAGAGAATACTGGCTATAATAAACCTGCTTTAAATACAAAATCATAAACAGGTTTTCAAATATTAAGTTAAATTAAAAAAGATGAAAAAAGATATACCAGGCCAGGGATGTAGCTCAGTGGCACAGTGAGAGGCCCGAGTTCAATTCCTGGTACCAAAAAAAGAAAAAAGATATTAACATCAAATGATGAAAAGCTAGAATGGCTACATAATACCAGACAGAGTATGTACATATGTGTGTATACATAAATGTATATATTTTTGCCCAGTACTGGGGATTAAACTCAGGCTCTTCACCCTGATACGTCTCAGGCCTTTTTTTTTTTATTTTTTTAATTTTTGAGATTGGATATTGCTAGATCACTAATTTGCTTAGGGGTCTTGAAACTTGTGACCCTCCTTCTTCAGCCTCCCAGAATGCAGGGATTACAGATATGTGCCTCCACAGTTGGCACAGTTCTTTTCATTTCTTCAGAAAAAATCTGAGTGTCCCCAGTGCTCATATATTATAGTGGTCACCAAATATGCAGAGGTAAAAGTATGATTTCTGTACTTACGGAGTTCACATTTGGAGCGTACATGGGGGAAAAAAATACAAATTCAGTATCCCTTATCTGAAATATTTCATACCAAAAGTGTTTCAGATTTTGTAGGTTATTTCACTTTATAAAGAAAAGAAGTTTATTTAGATTGTGACATTAAAGGTTTTTAGATTTCTTAATTTTATGTACACTTTACACAATTTGAAAATCTGAAGTCAAATACTCTGAAACCCAAACCTTCAAAAAGTTTGGGATTTCAGAGCCTTTTGGATTTCAGCTTAGGGATGCATATCCTGTAATAAATAATAATCACAATCATATAACAGAACACAGATAATAAGAAATTATGAAAAGTGTTACAAAGAAAAGAAGGGAATCACTTCAGGTTAGGGTTAGAATAAGAAAAGAAAAGCTTCTTCAAGAGCAGACCTTTTAGGTAATGTCTGACAAAAAGCTGGAATATTTCAGACGTTGATGGCTCTGTTTTGAAGCCTACTATATTGCACTCAAGGACAGCAACGATATTACTGTATCCTTCACAAGTGCTTGACACTAAGAAGGTACCTGCTACTATTTCTCCCTCTTTTTAATCCCCTCCTGTGACTTGTACATCATAAAATTATTTAGAGTAGTTTCTGCAAGAAAAGTTGCTGCTCTTTTTGTATTGTTGGCTTATGCTATTTCTTAGGTTATACGTCTAACTTGATGGCCTTTCTTTGCTTATTGGATTTTATTAGCACAAGAGGCTCTAAAAACTAAACCACAGGCTTTTTAAAAATTTATCCTACTGCAACTATCTTTGTGGGCTTTTTACTGGAACACTTAATGTCCCTACAAAATGGGCATATAGGGTACTACAGATTTTTTTTCTGTGAATCTTTAACAAGAATTGTTAGATACCTGAAGAATATAAAATGGCTCTGTTCAAGATTTCCTATTAAATATGGCTTTAAAATAAAAGAGACAAGACTTGCTTTTTCCTTTGCTTACCCTGTTCTTGCATGAATTGCTGAAGGCAAGGTGGTGCCAGTTCTGCACTACTTGCGTCTTCTTCCTAGAAGCTGTCAGTGATGGGTCCAGGTGCTACAGAATCTCTCTTTTACTCTCTAAAATAGACACTCCTTCCTTACCTATGCATACGCAGTGACTACCACAATGTATGAGCACTGGGGACACTCAAATTCTTTCTGAATAAATGAAAAGAAGAGGGGCTGGTGAGATGGCTCAGTGGTCTAAAGCACCTACTTAGAACAAGCTTAGCAAAGCACAGGGACCGCGGTTCAATCCCCCAGCACCACATGCCAG